CTTCGGCCATCTTGGTGGGTTCCTGGCACGTCTGAAGCCGTCGGAAGCCGTTTGGGGGGCCTCTATGGGCCGACTTGGGGCCCGCTTGGAATGCTCCAGGGCCGTCTTGGAGGCCATCTTGGGCGTCTGGGAGGCCATCTTGGGCGTGTTGGAGGCCTCTTGGGCCCTCTTGGGGCCCTCTAGGGGCCATCTTGGAGGCCACTTGGGCCATCATGGGGCTCTCTTGGGGGCCTCTTGGGCGATCTTGGGGGCTTCTTGGGCCGTCTTGAGCCGTCGGAGAGCCGAAAAGGCGCAAATGCCAAAATCCTTCAAAAACCAATGGAAAATCAATGATTTTGGCCTCTTCGGACTCTCCTGGAGGACCTCTTGGAGGCCTCTTGGGCCGTCTGGGAGGCCTCTGGGGGGCCTCTTGGGCCGTCTTGGGCCGTCTTGGACTCTCTTGGGCCGTTTTGGAGGCCGTCTTGGACCATCTCGGGCGGACTTGGAGGCCATCTTGGGCCATCTTCGCGATTTTTTGAGGATGTCCCGAGCGAAACGGCCGTTTTTGGGCATTGACAGATGGATGTTGGGAAATTTACGGGTGGCCGGCGGGACGGGCCGAAGCCCACTGGGGAGTTCTTTTAGAAAAAGAACCAAAACCAAAACCTGAATCATCCAGCACGCCATGCACCCCTGCAAGCAGGGGGCGGCGGACCTAGTGGTCTTCGGCCCATTCCGCCACCGCGCCTGGGTTGTGGGTCAGAGGCCCTCTGGAAGCCTGTGAGGATCTCGGGGGAGGCCTCTCGGGTGTCTCTTAGATGTGGTTTTGGGGGTGTCTGGGGCGTCTTGGGGGCCTCTTGGGGCCTGATCTGAGCTTCTTGGACCTCTTGGGGGCCTCTTGGGGCTTCTGGGGCGCACCTCGGGGGCTTGAGGGGGATCTTGGGGCCATCTTTGGGCGGAGCGCTCAACATGTCAGATTGTGGGCACTTTGGAGGGACCTCTTGGGCCCCTCTTGGGGGCTCTTGGGCCGTTTTTGGGACGATTTTGTGCGCCTCTTGGGCCGTCTGGGACGCTCTGAAGATTCAAAAAGCGCTAATGCGAAAACCATACACAAAACCAACGGGTGCTGATGAGTTGGGCTTCTTGGGCCGCCCTCCAGGGCTCTTGGGGGCCTCTTGGGGGCTCTTGGGGGCTCTTGGGGGGCTCCTGGGGGCTCTTGGGGGGGCTTTTTGGGGCCTCCTGGGGGCTGTTTGGGGGGCTCTGGGGGCTTCCTGTGCGCCTCTTGGGGCCGAGGGCTCGAAATGTTTGGGTTCCCCCTCTTGGGCCCCCTCTTGGGGCCCTCCTGGGGCCGTCTTGGGGGCCTCCTGGGCCGTCTCAGGGCCATCTTGGGCCATTGGGAGGCGCTCCTGGATGCCTTTTGAGCCGTCTGGGAGCGATCGAGGGGCCTCTTTGGCCGTCCAGCTCGACAAGGCGGCACCGCCAGAATCGTCCGAAAACTCAAGCGAAATCAATGATTTGTGAGTCTTCGGGGATTCTCGAAGGAGCCCTCCTGGAGCTTCTTGGGCACTTCGTGGGCCGTCTTCGGACCAACGTTGGCCATCTTAGAACGCTCTTGGCCTGAGGCCGTAGGGCGTGCCACTCTTCCGGCGCCTCATTGGGGCGCTCCGGGGGCCTCAGAGGCCGCGCCCAGGAGTTCCGGCACTTCTGGCCGACCCTGCCGGAACTTTGCCAGGACCTTGCTTGGACATCGCCGGGACCTTGTCGGGGATTTTTTTCGGCAGCACAGGGTTAACGGCAAGGAAGTGACAAGCGAAATGCCATGCATGCCCCAACGACACGCGTGGTGGCTCGACTGGGGGGAGTTTTCTGTTTTCATGTAAGAGGGACGAAGGCGAATCAACTCGATGAGGACGCGGAAAACGGGGAACCGAAATAAGAGGACGGGTGCGGAGGGCTAGGACGACGTCGACGATGGCGACCACGAGGATGGGGAGAAGGGGGAGGATGAGACGAGGACGAGGAGAAGTGGAGGGAGGAGGAGGAGGAGGAGGAGGAGGAGGAGGAGGAGGAGGAGGAGGACGACGACGACGTCGTCGGCGAGCACAAGGAGGACGACCTCGACGTACCCGCGCCCCACGCCGCGCCGCGCGAGACCCGTCGGCGACCGCCAGGCGAGGCGCGTCCGCGGCCCGAAGGCTCCGCTCGTGGGCAGCATCGGGGACCTCGGTGGCCGCCGCCCGACGCGCCGCGGGCAGCTGCGGGCAGCTGCGGAGAGTGGGAAGGGGGGGGGGGGAGAGGAGGGAGGGAGGAGGGAAAGAGGAGGGGCGACAAGTAGTGTGCTCTACTCTGGGGGGGGGGGGGCGGGGGCGAGGACCGGGACGAGCTTGACTTCCCAGGGCTCCTGGAGCCGTCTGCTGCACGACGATTCGAAATCCGTCTTTCTTTCTTCCGTGTACAAGGGCCGAACGAGCATCCTTCGGCCGAACACCCAGGGCCCACGAGGCGGGAGCCCTCGTGCCCGTGGTTCGCGCCCAACTGTGACGCTATGCGGCGCGCGGCAGCGGCGCGGTGGGAGAAGCCGGGGCGCCGCGGCCACGCGTGAGGAGGGGCGAGACTGGCGCAAGGACGCCTACCGTCAGGTCTCATCGCTTGGCCCGTTGTGCAGGTGCTCCGCCAAGAGACGGTCTGTTCAGTTCGCCCTGAGAGGCCTTGTGTCCAGGATGGCCCTAGGACGCCTCGCGGCCAGAGGCATCCTCAGGACTCCTTCGGGAACCCCGCAGGAATGTTGTTTGGAATCTGTGCGAATCTTCAGGGACCCGATGGAATCCGAAGAAAGCCGACGGGTCTGTCAGGAACACCATGGAACCTCAGGAATTTTAAAGGAATCTTCAGTGGTCCTTCAGCAAACGGCAGGAATACGCCCGGAATCCGAAGGAATTCGCAAGGAACCCTTCGTATTCGATCGTAGACGCCACCAATAATGATTTCGTTCTTGGGAGGAGCAGCGCATTCTCAAGAATCGCCCGGAATTTCGCAAGGACCCGCATGAACCCGCGCGAATCCTTCAGGAATGCGGAGGGAATATTCAGGAATCCTCCATCAATCGGCAGGAATCCGCAGGAACCCGTCAGGGACCATTCTGCATTCCTCAAGAATCTAACAAATTCTGCAGCAAGAATCAGATTCTGCAGCAGGCATCCTCAGGAATCCTCAGGATACCTACGCATCTTCCAGGAATTACCCTTTGTTGTATATATGTGTGTATATATATATATACTGCTAAACAACTGGCACATCCAACCGGAATCCGCTAAGAATCCTCAGGGGTCCGTCATGCCTCCTGAAGAAATCTGCAAGGACCCTTCAGGAAACGGCATGATTCCCCAGGAACTACTCCAGATCTCTCAAGAGCCTTCAGAACTCCGCCCAGTGAGAACCATGTCCGTCGAGGCTGCGTTGCGCTGGAGGGAGGAGGGGCAAGTTCATCCAGTTTGCACCTCTGTTCCAAGGAAGGTTCGACGACATCCCGCTGATGAGAGCGCGGCTTCATTTTTGTTCCCCCGGGGGCGCGTGGTCAACCTGGACGGATTGTGATTCAGGGAACGAGCCAGAGGAGGAAAGGTACCTCTACCGCTGCCTTTCTTTGTGTCTTTCTGTTCCCCCAGACGGGGGGATGGTGGGGGGAGGGAAGGGGGCAGAGGACGCATCGGTACCAATACCGCTGCCCTTCTCTCGTCACCACCAGGAGATGTCCAGTGAGTTGCGGTATCGGTATTTTTTGTTCCCGCAGGACGGAAGGGAGGGGGGGAGGGACGAGGGGGAAAGAGGGAGGAGGGGGAATGAGGAAAGAGCGAGGAGGATGACTCGTGTGACCTCCTCGGTGCGGAGCTATGGACAAGGAACAGCAAACGCTTGCCCCTTGATGGCCGGCCGAAGCGCCACTGCAGCGACATGCAAGGGGCGTTTCCTCAGATGCATTCGCGGAAGGGGATGGGGGGAGGGGGAGGAGAGAATTTGGTTGAGCACCCCTCCCGCGGCTCAGTGTTATCCGCACAGTTGTTCTCCCAGCGGTCGCCGCCGCGCAGTTGCCAAGGCCCTCTGGCTCTGGGCGCGAAAAAACGAGAGTGTGCCGACCGCCAAAACAGTGCGGTGGGGCGAAGGTAAATAGATAGGGGAGTGATGGGTTACGACGATGACGACGAGGAACTCAATGAGAACGAGTAAGCATTGGGTGGGTGACGGAAGAAGATCGGGCGCTCTGTTTGGCTTCGTTCGTAACAAAGGGGCCTTACGTCACCGCGGGCAAGGCTAAGCGCAACATCTACAGTCTGTGCGGCAGAATATAGTTCGTATAAGGGTGACAGCTGCGCCTGTTACTGAGCAGAGTGGGGGGGCTGAGCGGTCTCACTCAGTCACTGGCTGCATGGCTGAAGTGGGGTTCCGCGGTACGCCTTCTTGTAGTTTTGTTGTTTGGTTATTGTTTGTTGTCGTCGGCCCACCCGCGACCCATGCCGCGACTCACCCGCGAACCACCCGCGACCCATCCGCGACCCACCCGCTACCAACCCCGCGACCCACCCCGCACCCCCCCACGACTTGCCTGAGCTCACCCGCGATCCACCCCGCGACCCACTCCGCGACCCACCCACGACCCACGTGAGACCCACTCGTGTTCCACCCTGCGACCTCACCCCCGCGACCCATCCCACGACCTCCCGCGACCCGCCCGCGACCCATCCCACGACCCACCCGCGACCCACCCGCGACCCGCCCCGCGGCCCACCCACGCCCCACCCACATCGATTTGACAACAATCGGCGCCCGAGGGGGCTTGCCGTGCCATGTGTCAAAAACTGCGCCTGCGGTGTTCGCTTGTTTTGCACATCTGCTTTCGCGAAGTGGTTGCGCGGATGTTCCCGCTCCTTGGCGGCGAGGGCGGCGCCTGCCCGAGCCCCGCCGACGGCCGATTGCACGGCGTTCCCGCCGTAGGCTGCACGGCGGCACGTGGTCCAGGAGGGCGGCGGCACGGTGGGCTGCCAGAGGTGCGGCTGAGCGGCGCGGGTCCCCCCATGGCAGGCGGCGCGCCGGAGAGCACCGAGGCACCCACCAGCAGGCGAAGGACCGAGCGCTTTCTCCGCGGCCGCCGCCCGACGACGCCGGCCAGGCTCGCCACCCCGAGGAGGCTGCAGGTGGGCGACCGGGAAGCGGCTTGGCTCCAGCCCGGATGGCCTCGCGTGCTGCCTGGGCCGCCCTGTCGCGGTCCAGAGCCGCAGCCTTTGCCCTGCGCGCTGGCGCCGCCTGGCCTCCGCACCACGACGACGACGACGACGACGACGACGACGACGACGACGACGACGACGACGACGACGACGACGACGACGACGACGCCTGCCACGCAGCTCTGCCCTTGCCTCCGCCCGGCCCCGGGACCGAGCCTCCGCGCGTCGCGCGGTGCCAATCCCGGCAGCCCACCCGCGGGGAGGTCGAGCCCGTCCGCCCCGCCGGAGTCCCGACCCGCCCGCGCGACGGGGGGCCGAAGGTCGAGCCGCCGCGCGCGCGCGCATGGGCGCACGCCTGTCTCGCTGCGGGCCGCCGTACAGACGCTGCAGGCGGCGGCCGCGGTGACGGGCCTCGCTGCGGGCCTCCATGCAGGCGGCGGCCGCGGTGACACGCGCGTGCCTGGGCGCACGCCTGCCTCGATGCGGCTTCTCTCTCTCTCTCTCTCTCTCTCTCCCGCCATGAAGGCGCTGCAGCCGCGGCCGCGGTGAAGGGCGCGCCGCCCAAGCAGGGCAAGATTGGGTCCACTGCAAAGCGCCGACAGGATTATTCCAGGCCTCCCAGATGGGGCCCGAACAGGTGGGGCCCGTGGATCGCGCCGCATCGCCGATAAGTCGGCGATTCAGCTCGATGTGGAGCTCGATTTTCTCCACGCCGACGTCGCCGATGCATCGCAGAAGCATCGGCAGTGCATCGACGATGCGGCGCGATCCTCCGACACAATGTACTGTGGTCCCATCTGGGAGGCCTCCAGACAGACAAGAGCGAGCCCACTGCCAAGGGAAAGGAATGATGAACGGTTCGGGTTCAGAGGGGGCCAGCTGTTTCTCAGGCCTTTGCATGTTTGTTCCTCCAGCGCTCTTCGCGCACCCAGGCGCATGTAGGTTCAAAAGGAGCGTCTCTCCTTGGGTAGCTTGATTGTGTCTTCTTCTCCTTTGTGGAGCAAGAGGAGACGGAGGGTGTCGGGGAGGACAAGGGGTGGGATATGGGATTGGGGAGATGGGGGGAGGGGGAAGAGGGGGCATGGAGGAGAAGGGTGATGATGATGTTGATGATGATGATGATGATGATGATGATGATGATGATGATGATGATGATGATGATGGTGGTGATTCTGATGGTGGTGATGCTGATGCTGATGCTGATGCTGATGTGATGCTGATGCTGATGCTGATGCTGATGCTGATGATGATGAGGCTGATGATGCTAATGGTGATGATGACGAGGAGGAGGGAGGAGGAGGAGGAGGAGGAGGAGGAGGCGGAGGAGGAGGAGGAGGAGGAGGAGGAGGGGGGGGAGGAGGAGGGGAGGAGGAGGAGGGGAGGAGGAGGAGCATGTAGAGGATAGAGATAAACATAAGCAGATTTCGAGCAGGGTGAGGGGGAATGGGCATGGGTAAGTGGAGGAGGAATGGAAAGGTGATGGCCAGGGAGGGGGAGAGAATGGGAGGAGGACGCAGAGCGGGGCAAGAGGTGGAGGATGAGAAAAGCGAATTGACATGATGACAAGAGTCGGAGAACAAGAAGGAGGAGGACTCCAGAGAAACCGGGGACAAATTTGGTCAGCGTCGCACCAAGGTTTTCGACGGGCCACGATTCCACGGTTCCCTGAAGAGGTGTCTGTCCAGGCGTGGTTGCCTATCAGACTAGGGGGCCGGTGTATAATCAGGATGGGGGGGAGGAGGAGGAGGAGGAGGAGGAGGAGGAGGAGGAGGACGAGGCGTCTGGGAAGCTGGATGAGAAGGCGGATATTGGGGGAGGGGGGAGAGGAGGAGGATGAGAGGGAGGAGGAGGAGGAGGAGGAGAAGGAGGAGCAGGATGAGGAGGAGGAGGAGGGGGAAGAAAAGGAGGAGGTGGCGGGGAAGATGAAGGGGTTGGGGGAAGAAGAGGGGCAGGACGCGGATGCTGGGAGGAAGAGGAGGAGGAGGAGGAGGAGGAGGAGGAGGAGGAGGAGACGAAGAAGACGAAGGGTATGATGAATAGTTTCAAGAAGATGGAGGTTAAAAGGAGGACGCCGAGGAGCCTTTGACTTCTTCCGGGGCAAGTCAATGCACAGGGAAAAGCCAAACCACCAGCCTAACCACATTTTTTAGCCTCATTACTCCCCGCTTCGCTTCCCTCTCTTTCCCCATCCCCCCGTGGGGGGCCGTTGCCTACCTTCATCATTCCCCCTCCCCCCCTCGCCCAGTCAATGGCACCTTCTCCCTCGGCGTCACCGATGGCAGCAGGGAGGCAAGCCTGCAAGGCGCCGAGCGCCCTTCCCGGGCGGTGTGCAGAGCAGGAGCGGTATAATACGCGGGAGGATGACGTGTGCGCGGCGCATTTGGGCCTTCCAGCCACCGTGGACGCAGCGTGGCGTCTGTGATTACGTCTCGTCTCTCCCTGTTGGTGGTCCTCTCAGCCGTTGTCGTTCTTGGTAGCTGCTCGGTGATCCCCCTCCGCCTTATTGCCCTCTGGTGATTTTACTGTCTGATGCCCTCTGAAATTGCAGCGCCGATAGCCTCTGCGCAGTGATCGTGTCTGCGCCCAGACTATCATGGGGGAATGTGAGGAGGAGGAGGAGGAGGAGGAGGAGGAGGAGGAGGAGGAGGAGGAGGAGGAGGAAGGGGAGAAAGAGGAGGAGGAAGAGATTTTCCCCGTGGGTGGAGGGTGTCCTGGGGTTAAATCTCATATGGGGCCAAGGACTCCGTGTGGCCGCATGACGGCTGGGGGGCTCTCTTGGTAAAGTCCCTCGCCACCTTGGAGTGGCCCGGCCACGCTCCTGTGTCAAGCAGCTGAAGGTTGTTGAGCCCCGCCTTGCATGGCGGGCCACGCCTGGAAGCAGGTTCAACCGCATTTTTGCAGAGGTTTCACAAACTTGTTCTGGCTTCAATGTGTTCTGAGAGTTCTAAAACAAGTGTTCCCGGCCCCCAAGGCGCGATCCGTGTGAGGCTTGTGCCAAAATTTGTTGGTTCGTCGGTCGGTCGTTCGGTTGGTTGGATGGTTGGTTGGTTGGCGGGTTGGCTGTGGGGTTGGCTGGTTGGTTGGTTGACAGGTTGGTTGATTGGTTGATTGGCTAGTTGATCTTTTGGTTGGTTGATTGGTTTGTCCGTCGTTTGGTCGGTTGATTTGTCGGTCGGTTGGTCGGTCGGTTGGTTGGTTGGTTGGTTGGTTGGTTGGTTGGTTGGTTGGTCGGCGGGATGCCCGCTTGCCCAGGCGGTTCGTCGGTTTTCGAGGGGTTGGTCGAATTAACGGGTTGGAGAGTTGAATGTATGTTGGGCCGTAGGGTTGAGAAGGCCGTGCTTGTCTGACGCTCGAAAGTTTGAGCGTTCCAGGTTTGACATCCCCTCAGGGTTGTTCGAGGCCTTTGGGGATGCGTCGGGCAGTGTGTTTTGCCGAGGGCAATTATGACAATGTTGGCAATAACGATGATGATGGGCGGTTATGCTGGTGATGGTTATAATGGTGCTGATTGCGAGCAGTGTGGCAAATGGTGACGATGGTGACTGTGCTGGTAAGTACAGTGATGACAATGATGATGGCGACGACGATGACGATGACAATGACCAAGGTCATGATCATGATGATGATGATGTTGTTGCTGACGATGGTGGTGTTGATGATGAAGATCATGGTGATAGTGGTGATGGTGATGCTGCTGCTGCTGGTGATGATTATTTGGCTTACGCCGCACCGCCGACCCCTTGGGGGAGAGCCGCTGTTGCTGCTTCTGGGTGCTGCGTGACTTATGCTTGTTATTGTATCGAAGACGCCTACGGCGAATCACCGCCGCCCCCTGCCTTTTTGGAAGCGCCTGCGTGGCCGAACGTTGAGTTTGAGCTTGGCCAAGCTATCGAGCCACGCGTTCCCCGAGTGGGTTTCGAACGTCTTCGAGTGAGTCTTCGGGGAACACCGAGTCGGGCGAGCTATCGGACCAGGTGGTTTCCGAGCTTTCGGGCCTCCTGGAGGACGTCTTGGAGGGCTCTTGGGCCGTCTTGGAGGCCTCTTGCGGGCCTTTGGCAGTCGAAGGCCATCTTCAGGCCATCTGGGGCCGTCTTGGGTGCACCTTGGGGCCATCTTCACTGCCTTGGAGGCCTTCTTGGCCGTCTTGGAGGCATCTTGGAGGCCATCTTGGCCGTCTTGGAGGCCAGCTTGGGCGTCTTGGGGGCCTCTTGGGCCGTCTTGGAGCCTTGTTGGGGCCCTCTTGGGGGCCTCTTGGGCTGTCATGGGGCCATCTTGGAGGCCTCTTGGGCGCTCTTGGGTCGATGTTGGGGGCCTCTTGGGGCGTCTTGGGCAGTCGGAGAGCTGAAAAGAAGAGAATGCCAAACTCCGTCAAAAACCATAGGAAAATCAATGATCTTGGCCCTTTCGGGCCTTCCTGGAGGACGTCTTGGAGAGCTCTTGGGCCGTCTTGGAGGCCTCTTGCGGGCCTATAGGGCCGTCTTAGGCCATCTTGAGGCCATCTTGGGCCGTCTTGGGAGCATTTTCGGGCCATCTTAGCCGTCTTGACGGCCATCTTGGGGGCTTCTTGGAGGCATCTTCGAGGCCATCTTGGCCATCTTGGAGGCCAGCTTGGTCGTCTTGGCGACCTCTTGGGCCGTCTTGGGCGTCTTGGGGCCTCCGGGGGGCCTCTTTGGGCGGAAAGCTAGTTCGGTTCGTGTTCCCCTCCTTGAGCCCCTCTTGGGGCCCTCTTGGAGCCTTCTTGGGCTTTCTTGAAGCCCTCTTGGGCCGTCTGAGGGCCGTCTTGGGGCCTTCTTGGGGGCCTCTTGGGCCAGGCCGTCTTGGGACGGTCTTGGGGCCCTCTTAGGCCGTCTTGGAGCGTCGAAAGCCCGAAAAGGCGAGAAAACCAAAAATCTAGAAAACCCAATGGCAATCAACGATTTTGGCCTCTTGGGGCTCTCTTGGGAGGTCTCTTCGAAGCCTCTTGTGGCGTCTTGGAGGAGGCATCCTGGGCCGTCTGGAGGACATCTTGGGCGTCTTGGGACGATGTTTCGGCGACTCGGGGCCCTCTTGGACCGTCTTGGATGTCTCTATCGGCTCTCGATGCCCTCCCGGCAGAATTCCTGGAGCAAAATACCCCCCCTGGCCGGCCGGGCCGGCCCGGGTAGACCCCCCTTCCGAATCGGCCTGACGGGGCTCCCAGAGGAGGGGTTCGGGGAGGGGGAAGCATCTCACACGCAGATTACCCCCAAGGGATCGGCGAAGTGTGATCGTTATGAGGATGATGCTGGTGATGATAATGATAATGATAATGATAATGATAATGATGATGATGATGATGATGATGATGATGATGATGATGATGATGATGATGATGATGATGATGATGATGGTGTTGTTGATGATGATGATAATGATGATGCTGATGCTGATGCTGATGCTGATGCTGATGCTGATGCTGATGCTGATGCTGATGCTGATGCTGATGCTGAGGAGGAGGAGGAGGAGGAGGAGGAGGAGGAGGAGGATGAGGATGAGGATGAGGATGAGGATGATGATGATGAGGAGGAGGAGGAGGATGAGGATGAGGATGGGCATAGAGGTTCGGACGACTGGCGATTCCGACTCCGACGACGATTACGACGACCACGACGATTTACATGAATGGTGGCGCGGAAGAGGAGGAGGAGAAGGAGGAGGAGGAGGAGGAGGAGGAGAAGCACCCAGGGGAGACACATCAGCGATCGAGGTGGGTGATATTCAGGATCACAGCGATTGGCTGTGAAGGTACACTGCAATGATCTGCAATGCGATGCGATGCAATTCAATGCGATGCAACACAATGCCTCCTCCCTTCTCCCTCCTCCCCCTTTTCCGGTGCCGGAGACAAGTTTTGAACCCAATGCGATGCAACACAATGCCTCCTCCCTTCTCCCTCCTCCCCCTTTTCCGGTGCCGGAGGCAAGTTTTGAACCCCCGCCGCCCAGGCATCCCCCCCCCTTCTTCCCAGGGCCAGAACAATTTTGTTTGAACCCCCGTCGCCTGGGCCCCGAGACGGCGTCGATCGACCAGTTTTTGCGTTCCCCTCATTGTGAGGGGAACGCAAAAATTGGTCGATCGACGGCGAGGCACGTTGAGTGTGAGGGCCTCACACGGAACGTGCCCCCAGGGTTGGAACACATCTGTTTGAGCATTCATAGAATTTGGTTTTGGACATCTTCTCGAACCCTCCACACAACATGTCTTTGATCCCCCACCCGCCACACCCCTCCGCCAGACTGCTGAGGACTCCACTCGCACGGGCCGAGCAGAGGCCGCAAGCCGAACAGAAACATAACCGGGACCTGGCAGTGGACACGGGCCGCGTGGCTATGGTGGATCACCTTGACCGCCACCCTCGTGCCGGGTGGCACTGGTAACGATGAATTCGCATATCCCTCAGCCTGCACAGGCACGCAAGGGGAGGACAGACACTGCATGGCGTCTTGGCGGGAGCTTCCACGCCTCTCCAGGCAGCGGCGGCACGAGAAGCGGGAGCCTTCCTTCCCTCTCCGACCTTTCGGCCGCACAACGTCATGAGCCCATGCGACGGCCTCTGATGTCCAGTCTGGAGTCACCACGGTGTGGGAGCAGCGTGCGAATCAGCATGCTGACACCTTCGCCAAGGCTGGCGTCGATCTGCATGGGCGGACGGAGGAAGATATGTATTTGTGGCGAGGCCTTCGGAGACTGGCTATGGAAGCTGGGAGATGGGCGGCTTGTCTAGAGGTGGCCCTCTCGTATCTGCCAGGGAGGGACACGACTGGCCTGGAGGCCGCAGCCGTGGCCTCTCCGCCCCCAGCGCCTGCCGCCGCTGCTGCTGAAACCGACCTCTCCAGCCAGACAATGGCTGAGGACGGGCGGCCCTCGGTGGAGGGGGAGGACTTGGGGGATTGGGACTCGTTTGCCCTCCTGGTGTTCCGTGTCAACGGCCACGCCCTGCTTGGGGCTGGAGTTTCGGATGCTGTAGGGAACACCAAGGGGAGGCTTCAGTTCTGTGTCAAGTGCGGTAGTTTTTGCTCGGGGGGAACCCCTCGAAAGGATTGCTCGGCCCGTGTAAACCCAAGACGGTTGCCACGGGAGGGCTCAGTGATCAGTTGAGGAGAATTCGGCAGTCGAACTTTCCCTCGTATAAGCGTGACCTGAAGGGGCTGCTCCTTGGGCCCCATGTGGGCCTCACCCTCGCTGAGCGGCGGGCCGTGGCGGCTTCGGTGTTGTCGGGTGGTCCTGGGGCCCCGCGGGGTAGCCTTTCAGGTAAATTCGACTCCCAGGGCGGGTACGCCTGCA